CTGCCTACAGATATGACACAAATGTGTCGTAGTTGCTGCTGCGTGTGCAAGCTATTCGATACTGGATGTTTGCGGTGACACACATCAAGTGCCCGGAAAGTAATCGGATTAGTTAAAGTAGATTGGATTGATACAAAACGCGCTTACATACACTGTGATCAGTGGTTATACCACGCGTCTTGAATGAGGAACTGTTTTAAATCACTAGTCACAGCAGTGGGCACAATTTTTAAGTCCGAAAATGAGGTGCATTCAAGCTAGCGTTGAGATGAGGAAACGGAGAATTCAACAAGCTCCAAGTTTGTGCAGCAGGAAGGTTGGATTAGTGATGAAAAAGCCTGTTTCCTCAGAAACCGTTACTTTTAGGAGGACATGTGTCGGTGCCCTTTGGCGGTGGATAAGGCAAATGTTGACGATCTCCGAGTAGGTGTGTAACGAATTCATGAACAAAAAACTTTGCAAGTGCCGCTTCATCTGCCGTCAACCTGAGACTCAAAAGTAGGTCGGAGTTCAAAACTGTTCTCACCCTACCCCTATTGTTCGAAGTGTGAGAGGTGGATAGGCATTTTTCCTCCATTAGATGTCTTGTGCCACCCAAACACTAAGATTTTCGAAATAACACCAATTTTGCAAGATTCAAGTTTCGGTCGCGGAATTTCAAGTTTCGTACATACTTTATTGTTATCGCTGCTCGACACTCCTCTGCAACAGTTGAACAGCTACCTTCTTCGCAAGCGATGTGAACTCCGCAAAAGCTCAGAATCAACTGGAGAGAAATCGGCGCCTCTAACACCTCCCATCAACCGTCATACGCAGTTCTCGCCAGCCAGTCCTTCCGAATGACCAAAGGTCAATCTGACTTGGCGCCCACCAGCCTCGAACCAGCCTTGGACGCAGATCGATCACATTGCTATCAGTTATCGCTGGAGACCGCATCCAGAACCGTCGCTCGATTTGAAGCACAGGTGTGGACATCGATCACGCACATGCATGTGCTGACATGCGAATGCGTTTTGGCGGACGCCCACGACGAAGCTGTGAGCGCATTGACCCCAGCCAAACGTCGGAATCAGCTGCTCTGAATGCCTATCAAAGTACTCTGTCATGCGAGTTGAGTAAGCGCTCACTGGAGACAATTGACGGTCACTAATCACATGTTCGCCAGAACTTACTAGCAGCAGGCAAATCCTCATGTGGTAAGTCTAATCGGCAACATGGGCATTGGATCTCTTCTCGGTCTCTGGAACTTACCGACGCTCGCCGGCATATCCCGAATGCTAACACAATGAAACTCAAAAAGAGCTCCGGGCAAGACTCCGTGCTAGCCTGAAGAGAGACCGCGAATCTTGGTGGTCTCATCGTGAGTCAGAGATGGAAGTGGCCGCTGCCCTCTGCAACCATTTAAGTTATTCCGTCTGGTACGGGAAACAGCCAGCAGGACACATGGTCTTAGTGAAACTATGCGTGACGAGAGTGGACAGCCTATCCACAATTTGTCAAAACGTTTGGAGCGTTGGGCTGAGCATTTTGAAAAGCAATTTAATCGGCTAGAATTGTTCGATTCTTCGCTGGCCAGTGATCGCCCTGCTCCGGAGGCTGTCTCTTTGGATCCATACTCTCGCTCAGAAGTCGAACGTGAGATCGGACTGTTGAAGTTGAACAAAGCCGCGGGACCAGATGATCTTCCTCCAGCCCTCTTCAAATTCGGAGGCTCTACTCTTGTTGATGCTTTACATGAATTACTAGCGAAACTGTGGGAGCAGGAAACTGTCCCAACCGACTGGAGCCGCTTCGTCATAGTGCCAATTTTCAAGGGAGGCTCGCGTTCGGAATGTGGCAACCATAGAGAAATCAGTCTGATCTCCATCGCCTCCAAAGTGCTTGCCTCTGTAATCCTTCACAGACTGACTGGCGCTCGTGAAAGCCAGATTCGTGAAGAGCAAGCCGGGTTTCCTCGGGGTCGTGGCTGCATCGATCACATCTTCACCTTGCGTCAGTTGTTGGAGCACCGTCACACATATTGGCGGCCCACCGTAGTCGTGTTCCTCGATATCAAAGGTGCATTCGATTCGGTTGATCGATGTGCCCTTTGGAATTGTCTACTCAGGAAAGGTGTGTCCGAGAAATACGTTAATATTATCCAAGCATTATACGCGCGTAGCACGGGCAGAGTGAAGGCTTACGGCAAGCTGTCGCCACTCTTCAATATTTTCAGCGGTGTGAGAAAAGGATGCTCGCTGTCACCTTTCCTCTTCAACTTCGCTATTGACGAAGTCATGGAGATTGCATGTACAGGACATGACTTGGAAGTTGTGGAGCTACTCCCGGGAGAACGAATTTTTGATTTGGAGTATGCTGACGACATTGTCCACATCTGTGACAGCTCCCAGACGTGCCAAGCGGCACTGGACAGATTAGCACTGGCTGTCAGCCGCTTCGGGCTTTGCTTTGCACCATCGAAGTGCAAAGCGTTTCTCCAAGATTGGCAGGGATCGCATCCTGCGCTGACCCTTGGTGGGGATCAGATAGAATTCGTTCAAAAATGCAACTACCTGGGAAGTTGTATCAGTGCACTTAAGATCGAAGACGAGATCACGAACCGTATAGCAAAAGCTCGAAGTGCTTTTGCTAACCTTCGTCACCTATGGCGGCGACACGACATCACTCTCGCCCTGAAGGGTAGAGTGTACAATGCAGCGGTACGTTCGACCTTACTGTACGGTTGCGAACCCTGGCCCCTAAGATCGGCGGACATGAAGAGGCTAGTTACGTTCGACCATCTGTGCCTTCGCAGTTTGGCTCACATCTGGTGGGAACACCGCGTGAGTAACGACCGTGTTCGACGCCTTGTTTACGGCACAGGAAAAGGAAATGAACCGCTCAGCACCGTCATTTCACGCACCAGGCTCCGATGGCTCGGCCACGTTTTATGCATGCCAACCCACCGACTCCCTCGACGTGCGTTGTTTGCTCACCGGGGATGTTGGTGGAACAGGGGGAGAGGTGGCCAAGCGATGACTTGGTCCAGGTGAATGAAGTCCCTCACTTCGGAGCTGACCTCGATTGGAGCGTCACGGCTCTCTGGTTGGGGTACAAAAGACGGTGAATACGTTTGGCTAGATACACTTGCTGACATGGCAAGGAGCTGACCTCAGTGGCGTTCGTGCTGTGAGTTTCTTTGTCCCTCCCCATCCCTTTTAGCCTCCCCCTCCACCTACGATCTCAATTCGTAGCATAAAATAAAATAGTTTTTCTTTTTCGTAGTATCCGGCTGGTAGCTTACCGGAACGATGCCTATCCGTTGCTGGTAGCTCAGCTGGCATGCAACTGTTATATTTATTTTCCTTTATGTATTGCGGCACAGTAGCTGAGGTGTTTCCCACCTCTAGCTGACGTGTATAATGAATGAATGAATGAATGAATGAATATATATATATATATATATATATATATATATATATATTTCAGTTTCTGATTAGATAACGTGCTATCAAAAACATGGAAAAATAAAAAGGCGGAAGGAAATAAAACAAGATAAATGATTAGATGGAAATTGGGTATTGCCCACCCGAAAACACAGCACAGCCACGACGCGTTTCGATGTAATTTCATCACATCAGGTGGAGACAGCAAGATTTGAACCCACGACCATTGGAATAGCAGCCAACACTACTACCCCTTTGGCTACCGGGTCACGATGGGCAACGCTTTTTGTCACAACGGTAGATGACTAATTGGAGGGTCAAGTTTGGATCACACGTTGTGTGACTGGATTGCGACACGCAACCTCAATTTAATGGACTGTGATTGTTTTCGATTTGACACACGCCGTTTTGGGATTTCTTTGTACCTTTATGTTCGATGAGACGTTAAATAATAGGTAACAAGGTTAAACAGCACTGTCTCCACCGATTCGTTGCGCACCATAGCTTCTAACGTTTCTAACCACTAGCAGTCCGATTCGGGTGGTCCCCATCCTGGAAGGGGACCCGTCCGACGCATGCGGTATCGGAGAATAACCGTTTGGAGGCATGGGCTATTTGCTCAAGCATTCGCTCTCGGAGTTCTGCGTTACCCACGTGATGCTGCCACGAGACATGAGCAATTCTACGCAAACGATTGTCGAAAACTGGCAATCATTTTATGTCTTCCGAGGGAGTCGGCCAGGTCTCATAGCAGTACAAAAGGACCGCACGGATAGAGGCAATGTATACTCTGTCCTGGAGTTTGAGATTGATGTTGCGGCGGCGCCATAAGTGCTTCAGTCTGATGAATCCAAGGAGGCTCTTTGCGATCCGTTGTGATACCCCATTTCCAATGCAGTCACCAGCTGTGACGCAACTCCCTAGATAAGTGAAGTAGATGACTTGTTCCAGGACCTTACCAGCAAATCTGAGAGCAGGCACAGGCATCTGCCAATCCTGGAGTAGTCCTGTGCATTTGCCTGGCGTGAAATAAATACTTAGATGCCTCCATCGCTAAGCGGTTCAGAGCGCTCTGGACGGCTTGTAGATCGTCCCCGAACAAAGCGATATAATTGGCGTAGTCCAAGTCCGCGATTCTGTCACCTAGGAGTAGCTCAATATCGCAGTTTTGAAGGTCTTCCAATGCTCGTTGGACGACATCTTCAATGGCAAAATTGAAGAGAAAAGGTGAGATGGGGCAACCTAGGCGCACACCGCTGGTGATAGCAAACGAAGTGGAATGAGTGCCGGAAGCCCTGACTTTGACCGATGTGGGACTTTAGAGATTCTTCATGATGGTTACAATCTTGTCGGGCACAGGTTTACTTGGTAGACAGTTCCACAACGCAGATCTATCTAAGAAGACAAAACCACTTGGATGTTCAAGAACACTACGATTGTTTGCCGTCGGTGGACATGACGGAGTTCAAGCAGTTGGCGAAGTCTGGAGATGTGGGCCTTGCAACCTCGACCTGGACGAAAGCCGCTTATTCCTCTCGGTAAACGTCTTATCGAGTCGCTGAGAGCCTGTGGAGTAGAACAGACACGAAAATCATGGAGGCAACAAAGATCAATGAAATTGCGCGGTAATTGGCACAATCCTCGTGGGTGTCTTTCCTGTGAATCAGGGAAATGGCCGATACACCCCATGCAATTGGGACTTTCTCGTCAGTTCAAATTCTCGTGAAGTGTGATGAGGTTTCGTTGACAAGTGGATTCTCACCATCTTCGAATAGAACCGGAGGTAGGCTGTCAGAACCTGGAGCTTTATGACGCTCAAAAGATTAAATAGCGCTTCGGATCTCTGTTTCGGCAAAAGCATCTGTAACGATAGGCAAAGCACCATCCGAAGGAAACGAAGGTGTCACAGCGGACTATGCTGAACAGTTAAAATTGAAATAAACTGCTCTGCCCCGCAGCCCAAGTGCTTGTGCAGGCTGGTGACTTTCGTGCCGCCTGACTCACAAATCGTCTGACTGACAGCGTGTGAATTGCAACCAGTGGTCCTGATGAGGTAAAACAAACTGCGGAATTTTCCAGCCGATGCAGCGGCCTCCGTCCCAACAACTCGTTTTGACTACCAGGATTCACAGTCAGAGCGAAGGCTTGACTTCAGCTTTTGAGAGATAGACCGACGAAGTTCATTGTACTCAGAACCGGCGGGTGCAGCCCCTCGATGATTTAGCAGTTTCGAGAATCTTTCAGAAATCCAGCTTCCGGTTGTGCAGCGGGTGAGTCCGCAGCTGGACAAGCCGGCGGACAGCATCGTTTTTTGCAAATTTGACCAGTGCTGAATAACATCCAGAGCCTGGGGTAGAGGGAGGCTTTCTCGAAGCCACTGTTGATACTGCGTTTTCACCGATGGGTCCTCCAACTTGTGAGTGTTGAGTCGGCTTTGCTTGACCCTGGGTGAACTACCGAAAGACATACAGGTTATCGTACATACCAGTGCATGAACAGTGTCAGAACCAGTTGACCAAAATGATGGGCAATCATGTACGCTGTCGCGTCACCTGCGACTAATAACTATGTGATCAATCTCATAACTTTTGGAACAAAACACGCGCGCTAATCGTGATGCGAAACACAATGCAAAGCACCAAGTAGGACAGGGGATGAGAAAAAGGGTTCAATTAAGAAAGTAACGGGCTTACGAAAATGTTGTTCAAGCTCATCGATGAGGAACATTTCGTCAGCGGTCACAAAGTTGACCGCCAAACCTTCCTTGCCAAACCTGCCAGAACGACCGATCCGATGTAGATACGTCTCACAATCAGCTGCACCGGTGCGAGTGGTGGGCATGTTCCAATTGATGACAAGGTTGACTTGTGGTATGTCTAAACCTTGGGATGAGACAGGAAAATAGGGGACGAATAAGTGGGTGAAAAGAAAGCATGCGGAGTGCGCGCTGGGTTGCATGTAAAGCCAGTGATCTAAGCGTTTCGAGGTCAGGCACATCTGAGCATCCACATGCAAACCTCGGTAACGTCGTGGAACCTCGCCACAACGAACAGTGATAAATCACAAACGTAAGGCAACAGATCTGCTTACCTCTTGAGCAGACGTTAGTTGTGATGAGCACGCGAAAGCTGGCTTGGCGGAATTGTTCAATAATCTCTTGCCGCTGCCACATTTCGAGATCACCGGACAGTACGATCACCCGGTGACCGTCCAGATTCATCCGGCCCTCTAACCAACTGGCCTCCTTTCGAGTCTGTGCATAAACAGAGCATTCATCATAATCGGTTAATATTGTAAAAGGAGGCAAGGAAGTAAATGCTTGACGTGGGGTGCACATACCTAGAATGTGAATGCCAGCAAGATTGATTTCCCACAAAACGACATGCTAACTAGAGGGCACACTATGGTGGATTAATGTGATTCACAATTGGCTCCCATTCGATGGACTGAATCAGGCAGGAACCAAAACACACTTCAACTGATCTAACTAACTGACTGTGTGGTTCAATCCGGGGGGGAATGACACATTGTGGATCAGTGGTACCCACTCGTCCATGTGTGCTGGACAATCGGGCAAAAATAGCCCCTTAGTTAAGAGATCAAGTATCACGGCTAATAAACACAGAGCGTTAGCGACTTTCACACCCCTGCCAAATTAGATTTTGTGCTAAGAGAACCCAGCACCGTGTACCTTTTAAAGTACCTTAGTTAGCAAACGACAACAAACGCTGCCGGGGTCTGCAATAAGCCACAGCTTGCAATGCTTCGATTCGAATACATTGTTAAGCAGCGTGGACTCCAGCATGGAAGGCAAGATGGGTTAACGGTATTCGGTGGGGTGATCAGTGATTGCAGTTCTCGTTTACAGGGTCACAGTTTCGCCAATCGGACCGTTTGGCATCCAACATAGGGCATCTAAAATATAAATAGTCTCGATAAGCGGGTATGTGCAGTACTCTCCAAAGGCATCGTAAATTAGGCCTTATATGTTGATCTGAAAAAAGTGGCCGGTGACCGAAAGGATTGTAGGCTTGATTTGAAGCATTTAGGTCACTGGTTCGAATCCGCGTAGGGGCGGATGTTCAGGCGGTATACACAGCCCACGTGCGACTGGTGGTGGGCGCGTGGTAGCGCAGTGTAGGTGCACTGTGCCGGTGTAATGCTACTGACTTTCTTTTTTTATTGAATTTGTGGTTGCAGACATGTTTGTGCCACCCGATACAGTTTTCACTCCCTCCGTAGAGAAAATATTTTGTGCACCTACGGCATTTCCCAGAGCCAGAAAAATTGATTTCACATCACCAATCTCCCGAATTTGATCTCCTACAACCGTTAAAACCATCTAAATGATTTCCTCTAAAAATTCCTTTGAAAATACATGTACATATCTGAAGGTTTATGTCTCCAGTGATGCCCCATGCTGAGGATGATGTTGCATTCTTGATGCTTCTTCACCGTAGTTGGGCTAAACCAACTTGCACTTAAACAAGGTCTCTTTATGCTGCATAAATTTTATTCCACTTTATTTGGTTTGTTCTGCCTCCCTGAATAATGTTCTATTAACTGGCCACGTTGCTTAAGCTAAGTGCGCTTATCTTTGATAATTTTGTTGTGTTTGTAGCATTTCTTACTTATCGCGGATTCGTTGCTAGCCAACTTACTTCATATGGTAATTTAGGGTAGAGTTATGCCATCGTATCTGTATGCATTATTGGATTTATTTTATTTCAGCTTGTCGTTTAAAGTGAATGGCAGTTGCTTGATATCCCCGGTGTGGCTGCGCTTGATGTGCATGTTGACAAGGTGCCTACCTGTCTATTACCCACTACCTCATTCATACTGGCTCCAGGAGACAGTTGGTCGTTACTGGAGGGGACGGGGTGCATGGTACTTGTGGCGGTGCTACGCTCAAAGAGAGGTTCCATGCACTCAGTGTGGAACGGACTACGGTCCAGCCACCACCTTGTGTGCGCTTGATTCCCCAAATACAGACAAGGGTTCCATGCACTCAGTGTGGAGCTGACTACGGTCCAGCCACCACCTTGTGTGCGGTTGATTCCCCAAATACAGCGTGCTTGTGTTTGCCTGTGAAGGAGTGTGGGCCGGCTCCGTTGATGAAACGTGGCTCCCACCCGCATGCCTCCCGGTCATATTCCTTCGGGTTTACACTGGATATGGGGTGTATGGTTGGAGCTGTGGGTGGTGCAGCGCAAGCCTCCCATGGTGCCTCTGTAGGCGCAGACGTCCTGTGGCTGGCCACAGTGACAGGCAAATCCGAAACCGGATGCCGCCAACCATGTCTCCAGTGATAATTTGTACAATCTGTAACGGACAACTTGGACAAAGGCCTATCATCTTCTCATTACTGTTCCTTCATCCCTTTTCTTTTTCCCTATTACTCTCCTACCACTGTTGGTCACGACTGAGCCGATCTCCAGTGGTGATGCATAAAAGCTTCCAAAAAATTCAGTGCACTCACGCAATGCGAGTTTTCAGCAACTCACTGGCGAATATTAAAAGCGCTAGACTCGAAAAAGATAGATGATGGCTATATGATGGAGGCAGCTTAACATATTACACAGCCCCACATAAATTTATACATATTAATGTATAATGTGTCACCATGATGATGACAAAATTGCATATGATAACAGCGAACAAGAAAATAAGTCAAAAAAACATTAGCTACTTGCATTAAGCAACAACAGCACATTACCAGAGATGTGTAAGCACCTCTTCGGGAGACGGTTCCATGAAGGATCGTATTACTTTACTTGACCTGACGGCCATAACAACTTTTATTCCTACTCGCAACTTCGCCATATGTTACTTCTTCTAAATGATTGAGCACTTCAAACACTTTAATGAGAACATAACAGATTTTGAAAAATCCCTCCACTATCCAACTATGTTGTACCAATTGAACAGGCTGGTATTTTGTCTGTGTTTCGCATGTCGAGAAATATGCCGTTTATTTAGTTATTTATTCAACTTGAATCTGTTGGCATTTTTAATTTGACCATAAAAGTGATTGTCGCTCAAATCATCTTATTACAATGGTGAGGCTGATGAAGAAAAGTCAATTGAAGAGAACAAGTAGCAAGTGTTCAACTCAGCAAGAAAATTTCTGTTTGATAACTGTCATCAGTTCATACGACTTTCATTTGGACGCTTGTCAAACAGGGACACAATTCCCTCCACCTTTTCAGCATCGGATTGCTGGAATACAGTGCTCCACCGACGTGAAGCACGTGGCAGTGGCTTTATTTAGTGGCGAGTCACACCTACCACGTCACCATGTTGTTAGACATATCCGGCTTATTCCAGGAAGAATGCTTGCCAGGGGAAAACCCGTCACATCTTGAAACACTACCGCCGAACACTTCACTGGAACGGCGTAAACCCGAACCACCTAGCTGGTACTCCGGACAGGTAGTTCGGCAAGCCAACCGGACAGAGTGAGGGCTTACGGCAAGCTGTCAGCGCCTATCAATATCTCTAGCGGTGAGAGACTGTGTTCGCTGGACACGACCTACAACACGTGGAGTTGTTCCCAGATGATCGACATATTGACTTGAAGTAAGCCGACGACATTAGCCTTATCTGTGACAGCTCCCAAACGTGTCAAGTAGCACTGGACAAATTTCCATTGGCTGTCAGTTGTTTCGTGATATGCTTTGCACTATCCAAATGCAAAGTCCTTAGCCAAGATTAGGGGGGGGGGGCAAACTTCTGCGCGGACTCTTGGGGATCATCTGGAAATCACCGGGAAATTCTAGTATCATGGTTGTTTTTCTCTCTTTTTGCAACAGACTGGATACAGCTCACAGCTACTCGAAAACGAACTACGATAGCCTGATTCAAATTGCGGGACAGATGAATTGGTCTCTGTCGCAAACCGCATCTGTCAAAGCTTGTTAATCAGCTACGAGGAATGCAGTAAACTCATTAGATAACGGCTTACAGAAAGTCGAACCGGTCAAGCGCAGACTTTAGGAGAAATTTTGAAGTGTTCCTCCATCACCTGAATTGACGACTGACTCTCAATCGGAACTCCAGGTCGGTGGGCTTCCCACAGGAGAGAGAGAAGACCGATTCGGACGAGTAGAGGAACAAGGATGTATTAGCTAAACACACCGTTCATTAAAAAGGAAAATCGGAAGTTCGTGAATAGTATTTAAAGCTCCCGTGGAAAGCTCCAGAAGGGTCAATTTACGACCAATGAAGCAATGTCACCCTCGTATTAATTGGCCGCTTCACCTGGTTGGCTATTTGTTCGCCCCAATCAGTGCGGGTGAGTTTGGATCGCCTGTCATGCCCAGGCTCCGTAACGGCGATGGGCGCCTTGGTTGTTCGCTTAGTGTATGTTTTCCTAACACTTCCCCCCTTCGAATCGTGCTGCACGATTTCAGCTTGGGGTTGACTTGCATGGGTGAGGCGAATTTGCGTCGTCGCTTCCGCCTCTGTGCTGTCAGGTTTCGGGGCGAGTCGTGTAGTTGAGGTATTTGGGCATGTTGGGTACTTTCCGCTTCACCTGCGTCGGCCAGTGTGTCCAGAGGTAATTGCGCTGCTGGCACTTGTTGTTGCAGTTGTTCGCCAGTCCCTGGATCCAGTAGCTGATCGGCATATCTCACCCAAATCGCCGTCCCCATCTGGATACCGTAGATCACGTTAGCACGTTTGTATAGCACACGGCCCATAGCCCATTTGGGATAGTGGATGCGATAATCTCTTGCCAGAACTTGTTGGCCAACATGAAAGGCTCGCTTTCGAGCACCGTGTCGAATGTTGAATTGACGTTCCATCTGAAAGTTGCGAGGCAGTAATTGTTCCTTCCTTGATCTGAGGGCATCATGCGGCACATGGATTTTCCTTTGAAACAGAGTTTCAGTCGGGTATAGTGCGTTCGCTGCCTGCGGATTTGGAGTTGTAGGATCTGCCAGAAGAACTGTGTCGAGAATCTCCGCCAAGGTATCTTCTCTCTTCATTTTTAGCAAGGCTCTATTAAGTGTATCAATAAAGCGTTCTGCTTGCCCGTTTGATTGTGGGTGGAAAGGTGGAGACCTTACATAGATGATCGCGTTTCTGCGACAGAAGTCAACAAATTCAGAGATGAACTGCGTACCTTTGACCGAAACCAACGTACGGGGAACACCAAGATGAGAAAATATCTGTCGGAAAGCGGAGACAGTGGCTACTGCGGTAGTTTTCACCATCGGAATCACTTCAGGCGATTTACTGTGGGCATCGACA